GTCTACACAAGACAAAACAGTTTCTCCCCAGCTCTATTAAGGAAGGTAGCGCACGGTACCCTAAACCCTAAACCCTAAACCCTAAACCCTAAACTGAAAACCCGAGGGATACATCAGACTCAGCAACGAAGTCTGCTGGCTACAAGTCTCGTGGTGAGAGCTTTGCTCCACTACGGAACTTCACGACCAAAGCCAAGTCTGTTCTGAAACCCGCAGCCCCAACTAAACCTTGCCTTACATCTTAATCTCTCAATCCTCCTGTCGTCTCTTCATCGAAATTAAGGTCTTCTGACTTGTTGGGCTGGTTTGGGGGACCTTTCTTGGGATAAGGTCGAGGTGCATGAGCAAGAAGCTGAATACGCGCATCCAGCCTGCACGTCGCACGGGTGTCTGCTCTGGGGTTTGGGGCTCACCTTTCCTGGAGCGTCTCCTCCTCTAAGGCCCAATCCCAAAGCTGTGGCGGACATCCAACAGAGACTTGGAAAGAACCCTCCAAATCCAACTCCGCTCTCAAGAGAGAGGCGACAAGCTCGGAGCCTTCGAAGCTCACAAAGTTGAAGTCTTTCCTCGGGGTGCAAGCCACATTTCGGAAGCGCATCATGACCCTGAGCGAACTTTGGGGTGAACTTGGCGGATGTGCTGAAATGGCATCAAGGACCTAACCTAACTGGTTCTGCTCACAGGCCCCAAAGCCCAGAGACCACATGCCAAGCGAGCATCTTCATTGCGATGACGTGGCTGCAGGCACCCACCTGCCACACACATAAAGTGACAGTCGAAGCCGAGTGAAAACGCAATGAAACACGGGCGGGGAAAGGTTGGGGGGAATGTTGTGAAGCATCTGTCGCTTACTGTTAACCAACGTCCTGACACAAAACATCTTACATTCTGCTTCTAGAGCCTTTCTGTCTAAACAAGTTTGTGCAGAAACGAATGAGAGTGGAACACAGGCTCCACAGTGAGCCATTTCGAGGACTGTTGAGACCAGACTTGCCCGTAGGATGCGCTACTTGCTGGGCTGGAATGACATCAGACATGCCCTTCCGCTTCTCAGGCGTTCACGATAAACTGGTGGTGTGGCGCCGTGTATGGATATTGTGGAGCAACCACTCAATGCCCCGCTTTACCTCCCAAGAAAAACTTCCAACAAGAATACTCTCCGGGAATGTTGCGCGAGCACGTAGCACGAAATCTCAGCTGCAGTTTGTGAGCACCACGCCAACCCCTTCATGCAAGGAACGAACCTCTCAAAAAGTTGTCTTGCTGCGACGGCTCAGGCACACGACCTCACCCTATAACAACAGGCCAAACGCAGCAGCTCGCACTCATCCAGACTTCAGATTTGGAAATTCGGTCCTGTAACTTCAGCAAGAGATTCAGGTTTCAGCCGAGAGCATCATGCGCTTTGTACCCAAAGCCTACGCAATCTTGGGGCTCCTGACATTTGTTTTGGGGCTTCGTGCGCTTAAGGTGTGTGGTTCAATGTACAGTCTGGAGGGTGTGTTGAGGCTTAAGGCTTCGGGCTGACATTTCTAGTCTATGCAACCGCAAGTGCCAAGCCGTAACCCCAACTCAAGCGAGCTGGAGGCGGCCATGAGACCTGACACCACGCTCAGCTGGCCGAAGGCGGACAGCCTGCTTTTCAGGTGTTGGTGAAAGGCTGTCTGCCCTACAAGTGTGTGGCGCTTTGAGGCTCGGCCTGCTCCACGACTATTGCTACAGAGCTTGGTGACAGCCCTGTGAAAAGGGGATTACCATGCATGCATTCCCGGGAAGCCAATTTTGACACCACCGCTGCGTTGTCTGGTCAGTACCGATGAAAAGGAGGACATCAGGGGAGTGTAGAATCCCAAACGTGAACCGCGCCTTTTGTTCAGGATGTTGCTTTGAAAGAATCGCGGATCGTTTTGCAAGTCCTGGTGCGATTTAGGTGTCAGGGCTGATTGTGGCTCAGGGCAAACAAGAATACAAAGGACTGATTGAAACCGAAGGCGAAGACTTTGGATTGTTAACAAGAAGGCTGCTATTGGCATCACTGTTGTTATCATGACCATTGTTGCTGCTGCCCCCTTGCACGATGTAGTTTGTTTTACATGACCGTTGATAATGCTGCAGCAATTGCTTTTGCCTGAGTGCTGTGGCCGTTGTTGCTCTGTACAAAAAAACGCCCGCCACGTTGACGCATTGCGAGTAGTAACTGCATCATCACTAGAAGTGCTTGGATTGCCATATGATTATATATAGATATATATATATATGTATATACACATACATACTGTATACTCCTCCTCTTCCTCCTCCTCCTCCTCGTCCTCGCTCCCAGTCCCAGCCGTCCCCAGCCGTCCCAGCCGTACTCGTCGTCGCAGTCGTTGTCGTCGTGGACGCACCCGCAGCAGTAGGAGCAGGGGGCAGTAGCAGCAGCAGCAGCAGCAGCAGAAGTAGCAGTAGTAGTAGTAGTAGCAGTCGTCGTCGTCGTCGTCGTCGTCGTAGTCGTGGTCGTAGTCGTAGTCGTAGCCGTAGCCGTAGCCGTAGCCGTAGTCGTAGTCGTAGTCGTAGTCGTAGTCGTAGTCGTAGTCGTAGTCGTAGTCGTAGTCGTAGTCGTAGTCGAGTCGTCGTAGTAGTCGTAGTAGTAGTAGTAGTAGTAGTAGCAGTAATAATAATTATAAAATAATAACAATCTATGGGGCCTGCGCCGTTGTTCATGCGCCGTCTCAGCTTCTCATTCAGGGCTTTCCGTTGCTGAAGAGGGATCTCCCCAGGGGAAGACAAAGCCTGCGCCAGGCGTACTATATGAATTAGAGTCGAGAATTGAGTACTTGAAGCTGTATAGACAATATGCATAATGCATCGCAGCCGGGATGCCTGAATAGCATTCTTTTCTTCCTGAGTCAATGGTCTGGCCTCGGTAGGTTCATCAGAACTAGTTTTTGGGGGGAATCTCGGGTTGAAGGATATAGGGGTTGTGAATAGTGGCGTTCATTGTTAACCTTGGCTGCAACCCAGGCTCCCCTTCGGGATCGGACAATGCTGTGAGAGCTGTGGTCAGCGGCTGCATATCCACTGGCCCTGTGCCGTCGGACAAAGTCGATAGGCCAGTGTCTTGGCGAAGGATGGACCTCGGAATTTCTATGTGATACAACTTAATTCAACAGGAGCTAAACAGGAAATCGGCACAACATGTGTAGATCTATTTTCAGCACGGGGGCTTCTTGGATGCCGGTGTGGCCGTACTGCTAACTTCGGATACTGCGCAGCAATATTCCAGCGGCAATCAGCACAGTACTGTTATATTAGGGCTACAGGGCTAAGATAGTCTAAAGTTTGCTTCCAGGTCGGATTTTATAGATAGGATATAAAGGGGTATACGGGTATATCTTTTTACACACACACACACACTCGTACACACAGAGGCTCAAAGACAGGATGCATGTTATTATTATGTGCAGTCCTCCACCAGAGAAAGAAACACGGCGGGCCACTCTGCGGTCGTCTCTTCCCTCACTTGGAGGCCTTTTGGGGGGGTGGCCGACTCCTTTGCCAGCACGTTCGGTGCCATCTCGTAGCACAGGCCTGCTTAGAGGAGTGCCCGTAGGTGGGGAGTCACCAGATTCCCTCGGCGGTGGTGTGTGGCACTGGCTGGGTGAACCCTCGTGGGATCCTTGTGCGTCCTTCCCCTTCACTTTGCCAGTTCCTTTCAAAGCCTGATCGGCTCCATCTGTGTCCTTCCCCTTTTCTTTGCCGGTTCCTTTCAAAGCCTGTCCATCGGCTCCCTGCGTGTCCTTCCCCTTTGCTTTGCCGGCGCCCTTCAAAGCCTGTCCATCGGCTCCATCTGTGTCCTTCCCCTTCGCTTTGCCGGTTCCTTTCAAAGCCTGTTCCTCGGCTCCATCTGCGTCCTTCCCCTTTGCTTTGCCGGTTCCTTTCAAAGCCTGTCCATCGGCTCCTTGTGTGTCCTTCCCCTTTGCTTTGCCGGTTCCTTTCAAAGCCTGTCCATCGGCTCCTTGTGCGTCCTTCCCCTTTGCTTTGCCGCTTCCTTTCAAAGCCTGTCCATCGGCTCCTTGTGCGTCCTTCCCCTTTGCTTTGCCGGTTCCTTTCAAAGCCTGTCCATCGGCTCCTTGTGTGTCCTTCCCCGTTGCTTTGCCGCTTCCTTTCAAAGCCTGTCCATCGGCCCATTCGTTGTCCTTCCCCTTTGCTTTGCCGCTTCCTTTCAAAGCCTGTCCATCGGCCCATTCGTTGTCCTTCCCCTTTGCTTTGCCGGCGCCCTTCAAAGCCTGTCCATCGGCACTTCCTGCCTCCTTCCCCTTGGCTTTGCCGGTTCCCTTGGAAGCTGGTCCATCGGCTCCTTTGGCGTCCTTCCCCTTTGCCTTGCCGGTGCCCTTTGAAGCCTGTCCATCGGCTCCTTTGGTGTCCTTCCCCGTTGCCTTGCCGGTGCCCTCTGAAGCATGGCCATCGTCTCTGTGTGTGTGCTTTCCAGTGGCTTTGCCAGCAGTGGCAGCACCTTTCAAAGGATCGGCACTTTTGCCGTCTCCCTTGCCATTTCCCTTAGCTTTACCACCCTTCTTCCCAGCTCTGTTCACCCCAGTCTGCTGGTCAGCAACATCACCTGGGATCTTACCGACGTGGACATAGTGCCTGGGCTGTGTCTCCATCGAGACATCACGGGTCGGTGGCTCGTTGCTAGGTTTGCCGGCGCCACCTTTGGTCGTCGATGACTTCCCCATGGCTGAAAACCCCATCTACCAGTCGATTAAGACGCTGGCACTGGATCCACAACGACCAAAAAGTATAGCTCCGTGATCTAACAGCGGTACACGCAGATACACGCTATTCGGCCGTTCAAACAGTCAAATACACGGGGATACACGCTGATACACGCGGGTGCTTTTTAAAGCCCCCGTAGCAATTGTTCATAAGAATCTGATCGACTGCTCGATCGGCTGCGTTGCACCTCACATATACCCACTCTAGAGCTAAGTATAGAGCTATTATACCCACTAGCAGCACTAGCTCGCAGCTTGACCGCGTAGGGATTCGATGCCCACCAGGTTCTCTAACCCCGAGTCATCAGAGTCATCTTCAATATCAGTCATCGTCATCTCCAGCTCGTCGATATGCCGTCGTTTCCTCTTCGATAGGTGCATAGAGAGGAGGCTTGCAACCTTAGAAGAAACCCAAGGCCTATATCAGCAAAGTGAGTTTATGGATTGGCTGCATGGTTGCGTACAAGACACCTTCATTGCAAAATTCCCAGGATAAATACCCGTGGCATTCAAGTCTTTCCCACCAGTCTCAATTCGATCCAAACACGAAAGCTGTGCATTCGATCGATCACAAGTACAGTCTTTGCAACCGAGGTGCTCTTCGATGACGCCCCTCGTCATCAATATAGCCTCTGCTGATCTCGAGCTTGAGGAAGCTCTGGATCCTCTTCAGCTGGTTCCTGCGTGGTTATAGCAGCCGTAGCAGTGCTATAGTGGGGTAGTTGTAGCAGTATATGTCTATAAGTAGGGTTTAGGTTTTAGGGGAGCCCCTAGACCCTATACTACGGTTGATGATATAAGCCCTGCATAATCCATATAATCAGGAATATACCAAAATTCCCATTCCCATGGTTTAGGGTCCTCTAAAGTATATCAGGATTTATACCACTCGAATCCCAAAGCCTTGACACCTAACCCTAGATTCCTGTTTGGGTTTAGGGTTTTTAGGGCCTCTAAATCCTAAACCCTAAACCCCTAAACCCTAAACCTTTTAGGGTTTAGGCTTTGCAGGTTTCCGGGGTTTAGGGGTTTAGGCTTTCGGGCTCTAGACCCATAGGGAGGAACTTGGGAGTTGCGGAGTGCAGCCGTTTGGTTGATGATATAAATGTGTAGCATTACCTTATATAGGACCCTTGGGGTAGTGGAAGTGGTAGTACTGGTAGTGGCGGTGGCGCAGCAGTCGCAGTAGCTAAAGTAGTTCCAACAGCAGGATCACATAGCTGTCGTGGTACACAGTAGCATACTAGTGGTCGCAGTAGCAGCAGCCGTATGTAGAAGTAACAGTCGGGGCAACAGCAGTTGCAACACTAGCAAAACTAGTAGCAGTCGTAGTCGTCGTAGTAGTAGTAGTAGTAGTAGTAGTAGTAGTAGTAGCAGCAGCAGCAACAGCAGCAGCAGTAGTAGCTGCAGGAGTAGGAGTAGTAGTAGTAGTAGTAGTAGTAGTACAGTAGT